TCTTATATCGTATCTTATCTGCAATTGATGCTGATTATCGTTTGAATCTTGTTTTTCCAGTCTAAAGAAAAGTTTATTCAATGTATTTGTTTGATTTTTAAACCTCTCTCTCTCCAATTCTGATTTGCGTTTTCTATAAAAACACTCCAAAGGTTTCTTTTTTTTCCGCTATGATGACTCAAAGACTTATTCTTTAAAATAACTAACTTATCATTTTTAATCTAGTTTTTTTTTTTTTATTGAAGTGCAGAAGCAAAACATACAAAACCAATAGTTTAAAATAAAAACCTTGCCGCGCTTTAATGTGAGTTTACATTTAAATAATCATTTAACATGTTTTAAATAAACAATTAACTCACAAACTTATTCTTTCAAAAAAAATAATGAACTACTACCGTCGATCTAGTTATTTTTTCATTGAAGTGCTGAAAAAAAATGTAAAAAATGTAAATAAGTCTAGCATATGAAGTTTGGCGCCCCTAATATGTAAATAGCAGCCGTTGCGCAGTGGTAGTGCACTTGCCTCAGAAACGTAAGATCCGTGGTTCAAACCCCACCTTTGGGAAAGTTTTGCGACATCGGTTGGGAAGGAGGCGTGAACTTCCTATTAAATGCTATTCTGCGGTGCTCTGTGATAAGACCGTAAGGACTTCTTGGAGCACCTTAATCAACTTAAAAAAAAATGACAATAACTCAGTACATGAACACATTATGGACCACTCCTCTCAAAAAATTGAGATAACCTCTGTTAGCTGACCCAAAGAAAAAGGATGTGGGGTTTAAAAGTCGTTGACTCTGTGATCACAAAAATGTAAAAGTTGAAATCAAAACATTACATCCAAGAAAATAACTCAACATTTAATTTTATTACTATCAACATTAATAGTGTAAATGACAGCATTCCAATTTTTGACATTTCTACAGCACATATAAACATTTAATTCTTTAAGCAACAGCTAAGACTTAATATAAATATACATTCTAAATAAAAATTACGTTTACAGATTCTTTTACAAGTGCTTGCTGATAAAATCAGTCACACACTTTTGAAGTTGAGACTCACACTTTTGAAGTTGAGATATTTTGGGTGTGTCTTTTGGCGCTTGTACCTTTGCCAATGAGTTTGAAATTGACGGTGCACAGCTTCAGTGGTTTGCTCACTGTAAATACCCAAAGAAGTGTTTTTTCTTGAGATGAAATTCTTGATGTGAAAAAACACAGCATGAACTTTTGGAGTTACACTTCCTGCTGGTAGTGCCAAGAACGATTGCTTGAAAAGTTCAATTTTTTGTGCATAGTCATGCTGCAGTTCGTTTCCAAAGAAAGCAATAACCACAGCAAAAACTTTCTCAGAGCATCAATAAGTGAAAAAATATGAACTGCTGCCTTCTCTTTAGCCAACTGTTGAAGAAGATCAACATTTTTGAGAAGCTTGTGGCAATCATTGCCAATGAAATTATCTCCATGGTAAGGCTGAAGATTAATATGAAGAGCAGTTGCCCACTCATCAGTTGGAGGCCAGACTGTTTTGAGAGTTTTGTAGAGGTGGTTAACAACTCCAAGCAAAAGATAAAGCTCCATGGGAGGGATAATTTCCAAAACCAGACTAGTGTCATCTGCATGAAGAATAGGTTTATGGATGACATTCCCATATTTCTTGGCATTTTTTACATTACTGCCAGCAGAAGCAAATTCTTGAAAAGAGGCTTTGAAGAAACCAAAAGTTCGTAGGTCTCCACATTCAGCAAGGTTAGTTGAAGGAGCTGTGCACCATGTGCATGGATGCATGGAAGCGTGAGATTGAAGACCACATAGAATATTGGCAACTTTCAAGTCACAAGATACCACAAAATTCTTTGAGTCAGCTTTGATCAAGGAGAAAACATTCTTGAGGTTAGAATAGTTTTCAGACATTCCTTCAGAGACAGCAACAATAAGTTGCTGATTGCAACCACTATCTTTGGAGCTCTTTACTGTCAGGAGTTGTTTGCTTGGTGGAGAACGAACTTTGCAGTGCTGTAATGTTTCTGCAACCCCTAGAGAAAATTTTAGAAATCCAGCTCCCCCATCTATTGCAAGCTTGACAATGTGATCAGAAAATATTTTTCTTTTTAATAGGATGTGCTCCAGCAGTTCAGAAATATCTTTAGAGTGAATAATTGTTGCCATTTTGACTTTTGACCCTTTCTCTTGCATGACTTCTAGCTTTGAATATGTGAAAAACTTGCAAGATTGGTTCCTATTTCAAGAAACTTAGAGTCAATGTATGGTTCAGTGACTTTAACCTGTGATATTTGATTAAGAGTTGATGCTAGCTTTCTTTGCCATTGTTGGATATTCCTGTATTGATCTGAATTTGGGCAAGATCTTGTGCTGTCACTCTTGTAGGGGCCTCAAACAACCGCCGAGAGCTTGAAGAACCTGTCAGATTATAAATTTATAATTAAGTACATTGTGTTTAGGTTTAAAAATAAATTTATGAGTATAGCAAAAATCTACCTGGTGTCAATGCCAACGGTCGTCTACCTTGAGCTTGATTTAGGCAAATTGTTCCATGTGGTGATGCCTTATTTTGACTGATAACAGTAGCAGCTATTTGGTCAAAAACTTTGCTATCTTTAGCTGCAAGCAACCTCATGTTTTCCCAAAATGTGTATTCATGGCAAGGATGGGACATACCTTTGCCAAGAACTGCAAAACATTTGGAGCATCTATGGTCACCCTTCTCATTTTCAGTCTTCTGCCAATTTTCCAAAGGATGCCTTTGATTGAGCTTGAGTTGACCAATTTGACAGATGAGGCATTGGCAAGCTGGCTCCCTTGTGGAAATCTTGGGATAAATTTTTTGAAAATTGAATGGCAGTGATATGCTTACTTCTTTGCCTTCATCTTTTCTCCTCATTGCTGAACAGCATCCTTCACAAATTCCTTTTGGAACTCTTGAGTCTTGAAAATCAACATCTCTTTGGAAAACTGTCTTCACTTTTTCAATTATTAAAGGTGTTACCTCTCGTTTTGCCTAGTGCATACAAAGAAAACAGACAGTTTTTCGGTTTTCTTCATGTGATTTTGCAAAAGTGGGCATTTTTATTGCGGCAGTTGAAAATTGTGGTAATCATGAATTCTTTGTAAACAAATAAATTGTACATTTTCCCAAATAATTTACTTAAAAAATGGGAATTTATAGTGAGTGTACCTTGATTGTCACATACAAAAGTACACCAGTCAGTAATACAATTATATATGCTGTAGAAATGTCAAATGCTGTCACTCTATTGCTGTTTATAGTAATACATTTAAATGTTGAATTATTTTTTAGATATAATGTTTTGATTTCAAATTTTACATTTTTGTGATCACAGAGTCAAGGGCTTTCAAACCCCACATCTTGTTTCTCTGGGTCAGCTAAAAGAGGTTATCTCGAATTTTTGAGAGAAGTGGGAAAAATGTTTTTAAGTCTTTTTTAAATCGAAATTTAAGATTTTAATGATTTAAAAAAAAAAGAAAAAGAAATGTTGGCTACGCCAGCGCGGCTCCCCAGCCAATCCGGTGCCCTAGGCGACCGCATATCTCGGATAGCCCTTGCGCCGGTCCTGTATATATATAATATTATATATATATATATATATATATATATATATATATGTATATATATATATATATATATATATATATATATATATATATATATATATATATATATATATATATATATATATATATATATATATATATATATATATATATATATATTTATATATATCTAGTTAGAAAGTTGTTTACTTTCTTTATTATTGACCACTCGAAATAGAGTTTTGTGTTATTATTGTAATACACATTAAACATCAATCGATATATATATATATATATATATATATATATTATATATATATATATATATATATATATATATATATATATTACAATAATAATACAAAACTCTATTTCGAGTGCTCAATAATAAAGAAAGCAAACAACTTTCTAACTAGATATATATATATACATATATATATATATATATATATATATATATATATATATATATATATATATATATATATATATATATATATATATATATATATAATCGATATATATCGATATATATATATCGAATATATATATATATATATATATATATATATATATATATATATCGATTATATATAAATATATATATATATATATATATATATATATATATATATATCGATTATATATATATTTATCGATTATATATATATAATCGATTATATATATATATATATATATATATATATATATATATATATATATATATATATATATATATATATATATATATATATATGAATTTTTTTTTCAAAAACATTTTGCTTGATTAATAAAAACTTTGTTTAAGTGTTAAGAGATTCATTTTTGACGAACAGAGAAATATATTTGCATTTTTGACAAACGGCCAAACAGAGAAGTATATATACAGTTCACGACGTTTGGTTTGTTCAATTTATAGTAAATTTTAGAAACTAAACAAAAACGTAAAAATCAATTCTAATAATTTGACGTAGTCGATTTCAGTTGCTTATGAAACATTAATATTTTTTTTAAAAGTTGAACATCGTGTTGAATGTTATAAATGAATTAAACTAATGTTTGAATTTACACGAAATTTAATGCGTTCAACGTGTTTGCGTCATTTGATTAGACATAAATAGCCGTTACCAAAAAACTTAGTTTGAATTTTTTTTAAGAAAAATTATAGTAAAGTAAAAAAATATTTTTTAGTATAGACAGAAACTATGTTAAACTTGACATTTAACTCGATATTAAACACGATATATATATATATATTTTGAAGGTGTTAAAAATTATATTTTATTTAAAAACATTAAAGCCTCAAGTATTTTTGATCAACAGATAAGGTTGTGCAAGACATGTAAATACGGCTGCCGGATCAATTATTTAAATATAAAGAAACTAGAAAAAAAAATTTTTTTTGAATATTCCAATTAATTAATACTCGTATCACTAAATACTCTTTTACTAAAGCAAGGTTTATTATCGTTATATATACATATATATATCTGAAAATGGGTGAATTAATCAATCAAAAATTGTTATGTGGAGGACGCTGGACAAAGTTGGGTGATGGGTTTGTAATTGCCATCACCATATTACTTTTAAGTCACAGATCAGTAAAAGGTATGTGAATGTGAAGCGAAAGTAAAAAAAGTATTTTAAAATGTTCAAGTTATTTCTTTTAACTAGAAACTTATTGCTATTTGCTGTAAATTTTCCGTTGTCCTAACAACGCGTTTTGTTTTACATTTATAGTAGTCTTGAACATTTTTCATTACATATTTTTAGCTATTTATATTTGTATGTAGGTATGTATGTAACTATATAAATACCAATTATTTAACCTACTCTTCAAATAATTCTACCAACATCCAACCATATTATAGGGCCCGATAGAGACAAGAAATAATTTTCACATTTTTAAAACGTTAAGGAGACTTTAAAATTTTAAATGCATGATTTGAAAGACTTTCTCGTTTAATATTATATCCGGCTATCCTAGTTAGGCAAAGCTTGATATGCTTGTCTCCTGTACAATTTTTATATTTATGTTTATTTCGGCAAACATTGATAGAAAAGACCAATTCATCGGAATTAAAAATATTTTTATGCGGGCATTGAGAGAGAACATTTAGCCAGTGAGGTTTTCTTTTAACATAAAAACCGATTGAGACATCTTCGACTTTTGTTCTCTGATTCGTAAAATATTAAAGATTTTCAAAACCTCTTTATTTCCTGTCTCCAATTCCAGTAGAGCTTTGTTTTTCTGCTAAAAATTGTTTTTTTTATGCAGTCTTTTTGATGCAATGACTTTTTTAAGCATAAAAATAGTTTACATTATTTGCTTTTCAAAAAGTTGAAATTGGAAAAAAAAACTTTTTACACTTTAGAAATTATGAGCGCTCAAAAATCACTAAGCAAACGCCATGTTCAATCCATTTGAGTTGTAGAGATTTTCAATTTATACATATTCGATTTAGAGAGATTATGCTGTATTTATGTTAAATTAATTATTATCAGATTTATTCATGTATAAAATATACTTCAAAAAATCTTTCACACAAAGAAAAAAGAAAAACATCGAAGAGAAATTTGTTCAAAAAAATAAAGCTGCTTGATTATTCAGCATACTAGTTGCAACTCATTACAAGTGTGTCCACGATATAGCTAAATAATTGCCTGTGAACAACTTGAATCAACTCGTGTAGATATGCACATCTAGCTATTTAATTGAGGCTTTTATAAAACTGACGAGGATGCCATCACACTAGTTGCAAACTATTTACAAACAGAAGATTAAAATTTATCTGTTTTAACTCTAGTTGGCGTGGTATGTAAAAAAGACGTCTTTTAAACGTCTTTTTTACGTCTTTTGAACGTCTTTTACACGTTTTGGACTTTCAAAAGATGTCTTTTTAAAGTGCTGTGCCCACTGGCACGGTACAATAGGTAGAAATGCTTTTTTATCAATCAGTATCAAAATTTTAGGGAATATATCATTACTCAGAACCGCTATTGCACACAGGAAACAGTATCAAAGTATTTCAATATACTGCAAAATGAACTCAACAAAACAGCTATTACTAAAATGATTTATGCAACTTGTAGAGTTTTATATAATAAACTTCTCTGGTAATTAAAAAATAAAATGTATAGTTGGCCGCCATAACTCCTAACAGCCAATTAAATTAGTAACTAACAATTAAATTAGTAAACTAAACAATTTCAATTGGTGAAATTTTCATCAATGCTGCTTGTGCTTATCTTGCATCATGCAAACTTTTAAATCAAAAAATGGCTGTAAAAATGTTGGTGTTTAAGTAGTTAAGGTACACATGTTTAATTCAAATGGATGAAAGATAAGCTATTTGTACAGTCACTGGCATGTAGGTTCACGCTATTAAAAAAGGTTGTTCTTTGTAGGTTTTTGTTTAATTTTTAGTTTATCTAATAGTTATTTAATCAAATAAATTTGAATGCTAACATCAAATATGAGCAAAGCAAAATCAAACAATGCCAGTAGATTACATAACGCAGCAACAAGTAAACAACATCCTAAACAACAAAAGCTATCAAAACAACATGACAAAGACAAGAATCCAGACGAGAACAATGCTCAATAGGATCAATGCCCCCATCAGTTGATAATGGTAACAAAGTTGATGGTACTTCTGAAAGCAATAATTTGACAACGCTGGTAGCACTAGATGAATGGAGCAGTAACTTTTTCATTTGATGATGACTGAATGGTGGTGACATCATAACATTCAGATGAGACTACCTGCACCTACAAAACACGCAAATAGGAGTACCGTGTTAATTGCCATGCAAGTGTTTAGCAGTTACTTATGGACAAGTCAATAACGCAATATTTTGTAAACATTTGCAACTTTCCAGTAACAAGAAAAGCGTTTTAGACGAGCATAAAACGTATTAAAGCGTGTTTAAAATTTTTATTGTTGTGTGAGCAAGTTAGAGCCGTTAAAAAAACATTTTTTTTAACTGGTCTTACTTGTTCTAAGTGTTTTTTATATTAAAGCAAAAAAAAATGTATTTAAAAATAAGACATTGTTCATAAACTGCTTTGTACAATCCTATTAAACTTAAAAAATGAATTGTAATTTTTTTATACATTAAAAATCTTGTTTAAACTTTCGCTTGTAAGTTTTTGAAATATTAACGAAATGTTTTTAAATGTAATAAACAACAAAAAGAAAAATTAAAAAATTATTTTGTATTTAAAATTGCATCCTACAACTATAATGTACTTAAAAAGTACATTGTTCAATTACTTTGTTTTCATAAAACTGAATTGTTCAAATATAGCGTATTTAAAAAATTAAATTGTACAGATATGTTTTATTTAAAAAGTTGCAAACACACAGTATTCAAAAGTTTACATTGTATAGCTATATTTTATTTAAAAAAAACTACATTTATACTGTATTTAAAAATTTACATTTTACAATTGCACTGTATTTAAAAACTTAGATCGTAAAGCTATGTTTTATTTAAAAAAATACGTTTACATTGAATTCTGCATTAAATATTACATTGTATTTAAAAAATTATATTTTATAATTGTATTTTAAAAATTGTACAAATACATAGTATTTGAAAAATTTCTTTGCATTTAAAAAAATCGTTCAGTTACATTATTAATAATTAGAAATGACTTTGCGTTGTAATAAATGTAGGATGGAATGCAAGAAGCGAGCTCGACTTGTACTTTACATTATAACCAATAGCGACAAAGTATGGATTTTCTCCTTAAAAAATACTCTGCCGCTATTGGTTACAAAATAAAGTTCAGGTCAAACTTGACTCAAGTTTGCTTCTTGCATTCCACCCGAAGAGGCGTTGCTAAAATTTAAACTGCATTTTAATTAAAACACTTGCATTTATTTTGGAAATAAAATATCACACGGCTATACTCTGTATATTTATAGTAAAAGGTCTTACTTTTTACTTAACGAGTTAACTTTTTACTCTACAAGTTATGAAAAATATTCCTTTAAAAATGCACGTGCACCATCAGTTAAGGTTAATTGCGTCATTTTTATAGGTGTACTCACATTATATGTTTTGAAACGGGTAAACTTAATTACTATGGGTTATACGGTTTTTCTTCGAGTAAGTTATACTGCCATTCGCAACGTCTTTTAGACAATTTTTAAACGTCTTTTAAACTTTCTTAAGTTTAAAATGTTAAAAGATGTTCAAAAAAAAATGCGTTCGTAAAATACGTTCAGAACGTAACTTTAAAAAACGAGTGCTCGTTGGCACGCTATAATAAGTTTTGAATTAATGGTTTAAATTGTCGCAGTAAAAATAAAAATAGTTTTTAAATGACTTTTGTTTAATTTACTATATTTTTTCAAAAGTGAACTGTTTCAATAAATAACTAAATTGTACCAAATTTGGAGAAGAGTTACCTTAATAGGAAAAAAAAGGTTTCTAGACAAAACTAAGTTTGTTTCCATCAATAGTGTAATCAAATAAGTCAAAATATGGTTAAAAGTGTGGTATGGTTTTTCTTTGTAATAATTAAATCAAAAATGCTTTTATAGTTAAGTCGTTTTTGGTTAAAAATTATTTTTTTATATAAGCGTTGCAATATCGGCAACTCTGCCCAACAACAGTAACAAATAAATTATTTTTTCATAATATCATAACTTTTTGTTATATTATATTATTAAATCTATAATTAATTTAAATATAATTATTATTTTTTTGTCGTTATTGAGGTGTTTCGTGAAGTCTTTACGGTCTTATAACAGAGTACCGCGAATATGCATTCAACTAAGAAGTTCACACCTCCTTCCTTACCAATGTCGCTAATAGGGCTAGAGCCGGCTTCTAACCTCAGACCTCTTGGTTCTGATCCAGAACTCTAACCATTGCGCTACGGCTGCAATAGTTAAGTTTTTTTTTTTGAATTTCTGAAAAAAATATTCTGTAAACGTAAATGTTTTTTAATATTTTAAGTATTTCTGTACTTAAAACGTTCATAGTAAAATTTTAGACTTAAGCTCGGTTAAGTTCAACGCAGCGACGTTAATAAAGCCCCAAGTTGTTTATGCGTTAAAAAAAATAGCAAAGACCCAAACGTTGCGTAGGAGGTAAAGGTCTCTAAATCCATCACGAAGCACATGGAATGATGGCGTCAGCATTTAACTGCTTTGATAAAGAAATGCATGAAAGCCATTTCAAAAAAATTAAATTTTAATTAAAGTTGAATTTTTCAGTTTTTGTGGTTTCTACTTTGAATTGAAACATTAAAAAACAAATTTGGTTAAAATTGATTTGAATTTAAACTTCTGTTTTTAATATAATTTACAATTGAAAACCACAAATCGCAAATTTCAAAATTTCATCAATTTCTCATTAATATTTAAGGAAAAATTCAAAATAAATCTGAGAATAAAAACCATTTTAAAAACTGTTAACTTCCTATATATTTCGTTAAACTTGTTTTAAAATTCTTTTTAGCCATATAGAAAACGAGTTAACAATCCATTTTGGTGTTAGTTGGTGTTCTATTCAATCAATTAATTTTTTTTCTTTTTTTTTCTTTTTTTTTTTCCTACTATTTTTAATAATAGAAAAGCCTGGTCAGAGCA